AGCTAGAATGCTCTTCTTCGTACTTGATCTGTCTTTTTATGACACAAAACGACCCTGAAAATCCCAGGTCGCTATCTCAATTTGTTCTCGAGTTATCGTGCGCACAGACAAACACACAGACACACAGACAGACAGACAGACGCGAAACTTTTTGATCATCACTGGAGTAATAGGCTTCGCTATCGCTCAGCCAATGAATACTCACCATGCAGGTGAAGAAGTGGGAACATTAACATGTCAAGGCTTGCTTTGTCACCCCGATTTAAAATGTCCGATGCGTCACCGTTTCGCTGAGGGCGAATAAAGTACCTGACATCATAATGAACACCTTTCTTTCGCTCGTCGTAAAAGACGGCTCCCGTGTATTCATTAGAGGGTATATCAAAATTGGGGTCCAGAGTATAATTCCTACAATAGTTCCACATACCTCTGTAACTTGTCTTACCAGAAGGCCTTGGATTTATGGCTAATATTACATCACGCACTGATCTATTCTCAGCGGCGGCCTTTTCTTTTTCCTCCTTTGCCGTTTCAAATGTCCGAATAAGTTTATTTTCTCTACAAAGAAAATTCTCCAATTCTACAATAGTGGCTTCATTCAATTTATCACCACGTGTAGAACAAGCTAATCTTGCTGCAGCCACGTCACCTGACATCTCTACAAAATACAACTCTCTAGGTTTCGCAGCATTTTGCTCGTCACCCTCCAAGTACAGCGGCCACTCGTATAGCCGCCCCGCACGGTTCTCCTTCATAGGCCAGCGCGGCTATGCGCGGGACCCCCATCTCCGCTAAATGGCCGGCCGAGGGATGAAGCCACAGTGCTGTATGTGTTATTAAGCTTCAAAGCCGTTGAACAGTAATCAGAGAACAATCAGAATCCACACTAGCAGTGTATGGCGGTGAGCAGTGGAGTCAGGCTAGTAGAGCTTTGCGCAGCTATGAGAGGCGCGGCTATGCGAGTTGCCACTGTAGGAATTGGCAACAAAACGCAACTGCCCATTCACTATCATTGACTCATAACCACGAGTATTGGTATTGATACTGCATAGGTTGCCCTCGGCGCATGCCATAGAAAAGAGACGATTGTAGGATACAAGGGCTGCGCGAAAAGCTTTGCTCTGCGGGTCGTCACTAACATACCTTGCTTTAATAGCGGGTTCGGGTTCTTTAAATGTTGCAGCAGCTGGAAGACGCACTTCACCAAAGTCACAACACATTGCACTAATTTTTTGTTTTTGTGGAATTTCTGTCTTTCGGAAAAGAGCTTTGCTATGTTCACATTCAACATCAAGTGGGGGCAATGTCGCGAGAGAAAAATCACCGCTTTTTTCACCGTAAAATAACCACGCACATTTGTGCCACTTTGATATCACACCGCTTTCTTCGACAGCACTGTTAAAAAAATCGATTGTAATTTTACAAATTTTGTTGGCAACTTTTTACGCAATTCAATGTTTGTAAAATTACCAACGAAAACAATTGTAAAAATTTTTGCAAACGTGTTTTGAAATTTCAGAATCTGTGATCTAAAATTTGCAAATGTTGATATGAATTTTCAATGCAAATGGGAGTGTTAATTTGCAATTAAGTTTTAGAAACTTCCAATAGCAATTTTAAATTTAACAGCAGTTTTGATGTTAATTTTTAAATTTGTTCTACTCCAAAATTGTTGTTGCGTTTTGAAAATTACAATCTAAATTAGTCAATTCTCTGCACTGCCAAAAGATTGAATATTGCATATCATATAAAATAACTGAGAGATGTTCAATTAGGAAAATTATAACAAGTCAAATAGAATTCATTACTTTATTCCAGTAAGTGAAGGACAAAAACACTAGGGTACTACTGGTAGCAAACTATGGTACATGGTACTACTCTGTTTAAAGACTCTGGCACTACTGGTGCTACTGGTGCCAGATTATGGTACTGAAGGACATAAATGTGCTACTCATCAGGGTTGGGGTTGGGTATCGTCCATGGGGAGGTGAAGGCTCGGATGTCTTCTGACAACTTAAAGACTCGTCCTGGAACTACACCAGTACTTCTTTTCTTCATTCTCTTGTCACCAGTTGGTGGGTTAATGAGGAACAGGAATCTGTAACAATTAGAATAATATTAAAACAATAACTGAATATAACAGATAATTGACTGTCACAATAGATATAGTTACAAACCTTTGAATAAACTCCAAGGAGTTCTGTATGCCTTCCGTATATTTAAATCCAAAGATGAAGAACGAAAGAAATAACAGCAATATGCCCTCCAGACAGCTAGAGGCCTTAATAATTTGGTTGTTGAGGAGCACCACAAAAAATTTGGCATTCAGATCAAATAATGAGTGTCCTGCAATACCAAAACATGTATCAACTGAACTTTTGAAGTCACTAAGAGCCATGAGAAAAAGCCATGAGTTAGCAAATTTACCTTGAACAACCAAGATAGGGTTCCCATTAGCAGGCTCAGCAGCCTTCTCAACAGCATCCGGCGTATCAGTCTGAAACAAAACAGTTGTAAAAGAAAAGAGGAAAGAAAAGAGGATAAATGTCAATACAAAAAAAGAAATGAAACTTACTTGCACAAGCTGATAAAAGAAGTTGGTCTCCTCTCTCATATAGGCAATCAAAAGTGGAAATACGCTGATTGTGTTGGGCAGCTGGCTTCTGGTGTTTTCTATGGCCTGGTCCTTAGATGAAAGAATGTTGAGCAGCTTGGTGACAAGGTTCTTTGGTCGACTGTCTTGTCTCATTGATTCTCTTTCACAATATGTTGTGAAATATTTAACAATATCCAGAGACATTTTGTCTAGTTGCTCAGACCACAACAATTGAACATCTTTTTTGAAGAGGAGAGAAGCATGGTGAATGAGTAGCTCAGAAGATTTCAGGCATGGCCACCTCTCAAACACGTCAATCAACTTCTTTAAGGATGAGCAATTGATGATTTCAGACCGTTGGGTCGGATAGGTCTTTTGAAAGAGGCACACAACATATCCAGAATTAAGATCATCTGACTGGAGAAGAGCTAATCTCTTCAATTCTTGACTTTCACAAGTTTCATTTGCAGGCAACGGTGGGTTAAAATTTTCACACCCGTAACTATCTTCAGTTATCCTACGAGCCTGCTTCTGAGGGGTATCAGGACAATCAGGATTATCTATTTCCTCATCTGACCTACGTGACCTACGATGCCCTCTCTTCACAGTGTTTTCAGTTCCTTTTGAATAGTTAACTGCATTGTAAATGTGATTAATAAAATCTTGCAGCCCATCACTACAGAATATACCATTTACATATCTTGAAAAAATACAGTGGAACTTCCCATTAGATGAATTAAATACTGTGGTAGCATATTGCTCACAGACACCTCTTCGAAAATCCTTCACTTTTTTTACAATGTGTGAGGCCACAAGCTTTTGAGCCTCCCGAATGGCACTTCGTTTTACCAGAGGCAAATTTTTGGGAGGCGGGTCTTTCTTCATATGTTCCAAAACTGGCCCAAATATGTCTTCGAAAGGAGCACTTGCTATAGCCGGATAGGTTCTGGAGGGAGTTCTTGGTGGAGTTGCGGGAATGTCCATGTTGACTTCAAGTAGAGATGAAGGGGAAGCACAGGTTCCATAGCCACTGGAATCACTTGATTCAGAAATAGTTCTGTTAAGAACAATATCACTGGAAGTAGCTCCATTATTTTCTGTAAAACAAAATAATAAATCAGTAAGAAGTTAACATTTAATGAGCTATTCAAGAGCTATTATTATAAAAAGAAAAGAAATACCAGAGGAGCGCCACTCTTCATTGGATTGAAGAAGTATAACTGATAGATGTTTGCCTGAGTTAGAGTAGAATGCGGCAAGTTCGTTCAGAAGCTCGTCATCATCTATAAGACTGCCCTCCAAATCTCCCTTACTGTCCACGTACAGCTAAAAAAAAAGGAACAAATTCAAATGCCGTTTGAGATATTATGTAATACCATGAGAGAGATACAGACAAAAGTCAGGTGAGAACAAACCTTGTATGGGAGATCGGGGAGTCCAAGACTCTTAGTCGCCTTGTCCAGGACATGGGAACAGGTGCTACCAGCCACTGGCAATCGCTTCTTCCTTTCTCCCTCGGTCGCCATTACTAGAGGCATTATGCCAAAAAAAGTGCTACACTAAATGTGCAACTTGTCAATGTCCCACCTGAAATAAAAATAACATACATAAGAGAAGGTACAAACATAGCAGTAAGAGTGAAGTATCGCAGAAAAACTGAACAGTGAACAAGACTAACTGCACAGCAGAGCAGTTCAGCAAAGTAGGGTTATGGGGATTAGGCCATACATGGGCAACAAGATTAATCACGAAAAACGACTCAGTCACAGGCACTAAACACTTCACATAACCATTGCGACAATTATAACAATGATACAGGAAAGAAACTCTTAACTAAAGTTTGGTCGAGAGGCAACTAAAACTTCGAAAAGATTGACCTTTGCAAGATATGCTAACACATGTACAGGTTAGGTGTTGAAAGGACAAAATTAAATTCACAGAAATACCTTAGACGGCAATTTCAAGAGAGAAAGGAAGTCAAAAAACCATTAATACAAAAAACATCATGTGAGGAATGGACAAAGACTAGAAATGAAAGCCAAATAGTTATGCATGAGTGTGCTTACCTGAGAAACGAGATGCAAGATGTTTCAGAAGTAGCCTGCTTTGCATCCGTAGTCCAAGTCAACTTCCCAGCGAATGATTTACGCAGTGTGGGCGGCCATAAAGTAATTTCGGAGGTTTGTTCCTGTTCTTGAACATTTGCAAGCCTACTTTTGAACGTTCCATTCTCAACGACCGGCTCTAGTCACTCAGCTGATCGGCAGATCGTACGGCGGGAACAGCTGACAGGTGACCTTCAGCCGGCTGCTGGCAGGCAAAGCCTCCCAGACCGCAGCAAACCGCAGCCGCAGCAGACGAGAGACGTGATAGGCGCGAAACGAGTCAACTAACCCCATCAGCTTCAACTTGCAGTCTTGGTTTTACCTCATTTCCAGTCATTTTCGTCTTGGTTTTTATTTTTTACATTTTTGTATACTGTTGTGCCGGCCGGTTACCAGGTAAGAAAACTTTGTTTAATAGTAGTTTAAGGTGTATCCACGATAGACACATCAACACACATCACATATTTTTGGTAGTTTTGTAGTTTCAACTACAACAACAATTTGTGTCTGACGGGTCTATTGTGGATCCACCTTCACTGACTTTCTGACTTTGCTGCAAATTGCTATGAGACTGCCTGTATAGTGTTGTTGTCTCTTTTCCAGACATGTCAACAGAGTTCTCACCTGATTTGTTTCTCGAGAAGATCAGCATGATAGTCTTTTACCCCAGTGATGGTGAGGTCCTTCTTATTCCTGACTATAATCCTCATGGTAGAAGACATACAGGGGGAGACATCATAATGTATGAACGTATTGTTATCAAAGATACACAGAACGAAGAGTTGGCAGTTGTGCTGGGATGGGGTGAAAGCACCGAAGAAGCTGTTCAAGAAAGCAAGACATACATTCAACGAGTGATGAAATGGCATGGTCAAGAAGATGGGGGGTCGTTGTTATGTTTCATGGGTTTTAATGTTTCAGATAGCCAGGTGTTTGTCTAGTGATGAAGGGTACTGTAAGAACATATTTATATAGACTGACAATATTTTATATAATGTAATGAAGACTGATTTCTTACTCTTAGTGAATTTTATTTGACTGTTTTATGTAATGTGAAATTTTATTTGTGAATAAATGGCTTAAATAAATATTAAGCACAGCGATTGTCCCTTTACATAATGTCTTTACTGATTCAAAGTAAAATATGCACCTATTAAGTTACAAGTGTGCAACAATAGATTAAAGTCTAAATGAAGAATGTGAAAACATTACATAGCTTTGACGATTTCAAACTACGCACTGTAGGAGTAGACTTTTGTATATAAGGTGGTTGAATTATTAATTAAGGCAAGTCTTTCAGAAATGTCGTTTTATTAGAGTTTAATATCGGAGGAAACAAGTCTGAGAAATACTTAACCAGCTGCTTGTGAACAAATTAATCTTGGTGAAGCCACTGAAGCTAAACCCACTCCGGCATTTGTGTTGTGTAATCTGATTGGCTGAAACTAGCCTGAATAAGCTACAAAGTAGAGACAAAACATGGGAATGTTTTCCAGTTGATAATGGTGAATCTTGTAAATAGAGCAAGGGAAACAATATAAGCAGAGATCAAATCAGGTCAATTTATTAACATCAGCACAACAACTGCACTGGCACTGGTGCACATTGGAATCTAATTGTTGGCAGTCAATAGCAGTAAAAATATACACAGCATCTTATTTACAATAAGGTAGAATGGAAATTAATTTAAACCATACAAAAGTAGCCATCTGAATATCACTTTGGTAGGCAGTTTCAGAGAGAACAACAATGTTGCCTTCCTGGTAGAGTGTCCCCTTCACTTTGACTGAGGCACACTCTTCAATTTGCAAAGGTAAACCACCTTCACTCAAAGCAACTTGAATATCATTTGAGT